AAAGAGAGAGGAGGAGGGACCATGGACATATAAAGAGAGGAGGAGGAGGGACCACGGACATATAAAGAGAGAGGAGGAGGGACCATGGACATATAAAGAGAGGAGGAGGGACCATGGACATATAAAGAGAGAGGAGGAGGGACCATGGACATATAAAGAGAGGAGGAGGGACCACGGACATATAAAGAGAGAGGAGGAGGGACCATGGACATATAAAGAGAGGAGGAGGGAGGGACCATGGACATATAAAGAGAGGAGGAGGGACCATGGACATATAAAGAGAGGAGGAGGGACCATGGACATATAAAGAGAGAGGAGGGAGGGACCATGGACATATAAAGAGAGAGGAGGAGGGACCATGGACATATAAAGAGAGGAGGAGGGACCATGGACATATAAAGAGAGAGGAGGGAGGGACCATGGACATATAAAGAGAGGAGGAGGGACCATGGACATATAAAGAGAGAGGAGGGAGGGACCATGGACATATAAAGAGAGGAGGAGGGACCATGGACATATAAAGAGAGAGGAGGGAGGGACCATGGACATATAAAGAGAGAGGAGGGACCATGGACATATAAAGAGAGAGGAGGAGGGACCATGGACATATAAAGAGAGGAGGAGGAGGGACCATGGACATATAAAGAGAGAGGAGGAGGGACCATGGACATATAAAGAGAGAGGAGGGAGGGACCATGGACATATAAAGAGAGAGGAGGGAGGGACCATGGACATATAAAGAGAGAGGAGGAGGGACCATGGACATATAAAGAGAGGGGAGCGACCATGGACATATCAAGAGAGGAGGAGGGACCATGGACAGATAAAGAGAGAGGAGGGAGGGACCATGGACATATAAAGAGAGAGGAGGGAGGGACCATGGACATATAAAGAGAGAGGAGGGAGGGACCATGGACATATAAAGAGAGAGGAGGGAGGGACCATGGACATATAAAGAGAGGAGGAGGAGGGACCATGGACATATAAAGAGAGAGGAGGGAGGGACCATGGACATATAAAGAGAGAGGAGGGACCATGGACATATAAAGAGAGAGGAGGGAGGGACCATGGACATATAAAGAGAGAGGAGGAGGTACCATGGACATATAAAGAGAGAGGAGGGAGGGACGCACAGGTCCGAGGTGGGCAAAACCAAATGTCAGAGTGGGAGGGGGCGAAGACAAACGTCACTATTTTTTACTGCTAAATTGAGAAAATCTACCAAATTGTCGTGTTTATAATACTTAACATTCATTATCAATAATTATGATATCATATTGGATGGGTTGTGGTGGCTGGTTTGGATTATTGGGTGGGTTGCAACCCACCCATCCCCCCCATAAATTACGCCTATGAGCTGGGGTGTTTATGCCACAAAGTTTTTCTTTTTTATTTCAACTACATACCTTCAAGTGAAGCACGAGCTTCCTGTTGTTTTGACTTTTTCTTTCTTTGGCTTACTCCCGATTCATATTGCCGTTTGGAGGCCATCTCTCCCTGGTCACCGCTGGTCAGATGCTGCGTGATGTCAATCATTGCTGCAATGCGTACAGTGTCAGATTACTCGTCTTTTTTTTCCTCTCCTGCCTCGGGCTTGACTTGGTGCTGGAGGAGGGACCATGGACATATAAAGAGAGAGGAGGAGGGACCATGGACATATAAAGAGAGGAGGAGGGAGGGACCATGGACATATAAAGAGAGAGGAGGGAGGGACCATGGACATATAAAGAGAGAGGAGGGACCATGGACATATAAAGAGAGAGGAGGAGGGACCATGGACATATAAAGAGAGAGAGGAGGGACCATGGACATATAAAGAGAGAGGAGGGACCATGGACATATCAAGAGAGGAGGAGGGACCATGGACATATAAAGAGAGAGGAGGAGGGACCATGGACATATAAAGAGAGGAGGAGGAGGGACCATGGACATATAAAGAGAGAGGAGGGAGGGACCATGGACATATCAAGAGAGAGGAGGAGGGACCATGGACATATAAAGAGAGGAGGAGGAGGACCATGGACATATAAAGAGAGAGGAGGGAGGGACCATGGACATATAAAGAGAGAGGAGGGACCATGGACATATAAAGAGAGAGGAGGGAGGGACCATGGACATATAAAGAGAGAGGAGGAGGGACCATGGACATATATAGAGAGAGGAGGGACTATGGACATATAAAGAGAGAGGAGGAGGGACCATGGACATATAAAGAGAGAGGAGGAGGGACCATGGACATATAAAGAGAGAGGAGGGAGGGACTATGGACATATAAAGAGAGGAGGAGGGAGGGACCATGGACATATAAAGAGAGAGGAGGAGGGACCATGGACATATAAAGAGAGGAGGAGGGAGGGACATGGACATATAAAGAGAGAGGAGGAGGGACCATGGACATATAAAGAGAGAGGAGGAGGGACCATGGACATATAAAGAGAGAGGAGGAGGGACCATGGACATATAAAGAGAGAGGAGGGCGGGACTATGGACATATAAAGAGAGGAGGAGGGAGGGACCATGGACATATAAAGAGAGAGGAGGAGGGACCATGGACATATAAAGAGAGAGGAGGGCGGGACTATGGACATATAAAGAGAGGAGGAGGAGGGACCATGGACATATAAAGAGAGAGGAGGAGGGACCATGGACATATAAAGAGAGGAGGAGGGAGGGACCATGGACATATAAAGAGAGAGGAGGGAGGGACCATGGACATATAAAGAGAGGAGGAGGGAGGGACCATGGACATATAAAGAGAGAGGAGGGAGGGACCATGGACATATAAAGAGAGAGGAGGGAGGGACCATGGACATATAAAGAGAGAGAGGACCATGGACATATAAAGAGAGAGGAGGAGGGACCATGGACATATAAAGAGAGAGGAGGGACCATGGACATATAAAGAGAGAGGAGGGACCATGGACATATAAAGAGAGAGGAGGGAGGGACGCAGGTCCGAGGTGGGCAAAACGAAATGTCAGAGTGGGAGGGGGCGAAGACAAACGTCACTATTTTTTACTGCTAAATTGAGAAAATCTACCAAATTGTCGTGTTTATAATACTTAACATTCATTATCAATAATTATGATATCATATTGGATGGGTTGTGGTGGCTGGTTTGGATTATTGGGTGGGTTGCAACCCACCCATCCCCCCCATAAATTACGCCTAAGAGCTGGGGTGTTTATGCCACAAAGTTTTTCTTTTTTATTTCAACTACATACCTTCAAGTGAAGCACGAGCTTCCTGTTGTTTTGACTTTTTCTTTCTTTGGCTTACTCCCGATTCATATTGCCGTTTGGAGGCCATCTCTCCCTGGTCACCGCTGGTCAGATGCTGCGTGATGTCAATCATTGCTGCAATGCGTACAGTGTCAGATTACTCGTCTTTTTTTTTCTCTCCTGCCTCGGGCTTGACTTGGTGCTCTACGCGCGCCTCATGGCAGCGATGCACATCCTTTGCGCATTTGCAGAGAATGCGTACCCTTACACAAAATGGGGCCCCACCATGGATCGTGAGGCCCTATGCACAGCGCGTGTTCTGCGTATAGGGAGGGGCGGCGCTGCTCACACCTCCTGAGGATTTATCTCAAAGCTTAGCCAGGGACAGGGGTTTCAAATTAGCCACAGCTAGAAACCTGGATGCATGGCATCTAGTTTGTGTTTAAAGAGGACATATCATCCCTATCTCCATCTTTTCAAACATTCCCCTGTGGTCTAAATAAAACATCTGTGCTGTTCTTTGGTCAAAATATAACATGAATCAAGCACCAGAGGAGGTTTGTGACCCTGTATAAACCAGCTCTCTCAGAACGCTCCACTTTGGTGTGTGTGTCTCTTTAAATCAGTGGTTCTCAAACTATGGTAGTACACAGGACTCTCTGTGGTGGTACGCAAAGAAATCTCCACAATATAAAAAAAACACCCGTTCAGCATAAAACAACATTTTATTTTGATCATACTCTTATTTTATCTGTCTTGTATCTATTGAGTTGTATTTATATCAAATGTGTTTTCCCCTCTAAATTAATCTAGTTTTTGCAACAAACAACTTTAATCTGCTCAATTTATGCTCAAACGTACACAGACATAAACAACAACAGGAGTACGCCTCACGTTTTGAAAAGTTCCACTCAATATTCCGTTATAGTTTAGGACTGAAACATGTCCCCCTAATATAACGGTAGGGGAAACACTGCTCAGGTTACTCAAATAAATGTCCACAAATACTGTCAAAGTTGATTTTTCACAATATGTCCCCTTTAATATATGAAGCAATGGTCACTGCATGTGTTCTTGTTAGTAACTAAAAAGAAGAAATAGCACAAAGACCTTCAGTGAGTGCAGTGGATGTTTACCGCGGCTTTTTTGCTTCTCTGAGCTGTTCTGCAGCTAAACTTTGATAAAATATGATTATTAAAGCAGAAATGTGTCCGTTGATGATATTTAACTGAATGTACGCTCAGTGTCCAGTTTATTTGTTCCACTAATATGAATTATGAACAACTTCTTACAAACTGAGCAGTTAAAAATACTCACTAGTAGCTAATTAAGGGTTATTGATTCGGGTTAGTGCAAGTGGAATTTATTTCTAAAGCTGGTTTGAAAAAACTTTTTACAAGTGCAACAAGACTAATTCAAATGTTCTTGTTTATGATTTGATAAGAAAATGTAGAAATTCACAGAGGTAAGTTTTGCACACGAGGTCGTATCACATCACAGACTTTGAGAACGATGATTAAAACACATGTGGAGTCTCAGAGACCCAGAAACAGATTTCTGTTCTGACAACCCAAACAAGTCAACCCTTCAAAATCATGTTTATAAACCATTCTAATAAATTAACTTGAGGGCTTTGAGGTCACCATCACCCCATACTGACGTTCATTTATTTACCTACAGTTTGATTAACTGTGGTCTCCGACCTGCAAGAGGCTTTTTAAGTGCTCCTCAGTATCGTCTTTTTTAATGTTTTATCATGCTGTATTTTACTTTTCACAGCTCCAGGATGATTCACGTTTCCAACAGACTGTCCCTTCACTATCAGCATGGTGCCTTCACTGACCTGGTGTTCTACACTGTTGTCTTCCTCGCCCTGATGAACTCATGTAAAGGTAAGTTGTAAACATTACAAACAGTGTGGTTCATGTTGACATGAAGAGTTAGTTAAATTACTGAAGTTTAAAGGGATACTTCACCTGTTGAAACATGAATCTGTATTGACATTGGGTCATATATTTAGTAGAATTGTGAAATAAATTTTGAAGTTGGTGCCTTCTTGGCTGTGAAAAGGCAGAAAGTGTATTTTTGGCTCATGTGGATGAAAGACACCAAATCCCAGAATGCACAGCACCACAGGCCACTCCCTCTAAGGTCCTCTAGTTCAGAATCAGAAATACTTTATTAATCCCAGAGGGAATTACGATCGATACAGTTTCTCCAAAATATACAATATAGCAGTAGAAATATAGAAATAAAAACATTTACAGACATATTTACTTCAACACATAAAGCTGTTTCCTCAACTGATTCTGAGATTTCTTCCAGAATTCTTGGAAATTCCTGGCAGAAAACAGACTCTATGTCTGTGTCCATAGGCAAACAGTGAGAGCACCGACACTACCAGTCTGCCCCAGCTTCTCGTCCTCACCGCCGCCGACAGGCAGGCATCATGTCTCTACTGCTGAGCTGGCAGCGGCAGCAATATAGCTGCGAGACGGTTGCTGCCCACATGCTGGTTTTGTGTTGTGGCCCGCGGTCAGGCTTGCGGCGGCCGGGCTCCGAAAATATCAGGAAGTGGCATTGTAGTTTCACCCCCGCTAACCACAACAGCTTCCAGTGATGCAAAAATCTTAATTTTGCATCACTGGAAGCTCCTTTTCAGACTTAGAAATACAAAGATTTCCCATCTCAGGGGAAAATGAGGGCGGGATGCACGACCATTCAAAAATACTACCAGGTTTCTAATGATACAAAGCTTAATGCAAATGGGTGAAGTATCCCTTTAAGTATGTGCTTCTAATGACACCATATGGCTCACATTTGCTGAGCTGTAGGAATAAAAAATGAATCCCTGTTTGTTTGCAGCTCAGTCTGAGGTGATCGTTCCATCTCAGCCAGTAGTTTCATTGGTGGGTGAAGACATTATTCTGCCATGTCACCTGGACCCCGTCATGAATGCTTTTGACATGACTGTGGAGTGGGCGAGACCTGACCTGAACCCCAGATTTGTCCACTTGTGGCGTCAAGGCGAAGAACTGGAGACTAAAAAACATCCGTCCTTCAGTGGAAGAACATCAGTGTTCATCGATGAGCTGGAGAAGGGAAACATCTCACTGAAACTCTCCAAAGTTAAAGTCTCTGATGAGGGAGGATACAAATGCTTCATGCCTGCATTGTCAAAAGCCTCTTCTGTTCAGCTTGTTGTCGGTAAGAGGACATGTTTTTATGATTATTTAATAAATGTTCATGCAGCGGTCGTGCATTTGTTGCTGATGAGAGAGGAATATGTTAGAAAGGATATGTGCATCCAAATCTTTCATTGGTGCTTTCGAAGTGTTTATCTGTCCAGACGATAACGACACACAATGTGATAGTTTGCACACAGAAACAACATGACAACATGTTCACAATACTATCAGTGTGATTGACTAAATTACTCAAAAAACTTAATGGTTCTTAAATGTAACTTTTTACATGTATCAATCGTTTTTTATCGTCCATTAATAAGCGAACGGTTAACTCGTGAAAAAGTAGATGTTCACTGTCTATCTGTGTTGCCTGAATAAAAAAAAAGTTTTTTCCACGAAAGCTCCAGGAAGTGACATTATATGCACGTTCTCAACGTCATCCTCACTCCGCTCCGCTTACAAAGATCAACAGTACAAACTCATCACACACTCCTGCTCTCAGCCAGTGCCTGCAGAGACTGTCGTTTGTAGGATGGAGAATGAATACAGACACACAGACTCCTTCACAGACTTTCACATGTATGACCACTTACCTTCTCTGTAAACATTATGCTGGTAAATATCCAGTGTTTCGCGGCCGATGATGATGCTCGTTTGTGTACGTACGAGAGCATTTGACGAGCACGCGAGGGAGAGCGAGCAACAGGTTACTGGTACAGTTCGCCTAATGTCGCCTAACACCGTTTGTCGCTACAAACATAGTATTATAGTTACATATAGCCCCTTTAAACAGCTTAAATGTTACTGTTGAGGCACGTAGCAGCCATGTTGAATTTAACTCGGCCTACTGAAGGTACTGAGTATCCAGGTCGGAATTCTGACTTCAGAGAGGCGTTCCTGATGATGTATCAGACCGGAAACTCCAAATTTCTGACTTCCCAGATCAAATGCAACGTACCATGTGTCTGTACCTTTAAATGTAAATGAGCTGTGTCTGACCACGCCCCCTCTCTGGAAGGGCTCGGGTGTACTCGGGCTTTCTCGCTCCATGTCCTATTGTTTACGGTGAGAAGGCAGACTCAGAGGACAGAACAAACACCTAGCTGTGGAAGTGTCATCCACCTGGGGGAGGGGTTACTGTCCTTTGTGATGTCATGAAGGGAAAATCTCCAAACGGCCTGTTTGAGCACACATTTTCTGAAAAGTGGAGCAGGAAAAAGACGGAGAGAATGGACTTTTCTCATCATTGGGGGTTTTGTAGACAGAATAGAGACACATATTAGAGTTAGAGAAACATGGAGAAGTGTGTTTGGCATAATGTGTGACCTTTAATAGAGATCTTATTATGATGTAAGAAACCTCTCCTCTATAGGTGCGGTCTCCTCACCTGTTGTTCAGATGACCAAAAACAACAATGGAGTGTTGTTAGAGTGTGAGTCTGCAGACTGGTATCCAGAGCCAGAGATGTTTTGGCTGGACGGCGAGGGAAACCTCCTCTCTGCTGAACCCACTGAGACAGTCAGAGGTCCTGATGGTCTCTACACTGTCAGCAGCAGAGTGACTGTGGAGAAGAGACATGGGAGGAAGTTCACCTGTAGAGTCACACAGAGGAAGATCAACCAGACCAGAGAGAAGCACCTCACTATTCCAGGTAAATATAAGGCATTAATTATTTATGTGATCAATGAGCTGAACAGTAAATATGAAAATAATTCTGTTTTGCAATTTCAGATCATCTCTTCACGTTCCCCAGCACTGTTGTTATCGGCGCTGTGATTGGCTGTGCTGCTTTGCTGTTCATTCCTGTGATCATCTTTGTTGTGTGGAGACGGAGACAAAAGAAATTCAGTAAGTGACAAACTGTCAGTCTTCTGATTGTAAGACTCCAGAGGTTTTATGAAATCATGCAGATGTTTGATGATGTATTGATGAGACTAGAGTTCAAAAAGTGATTAGCATTTAGTTTTAGTTTCATTTGCATACATCCATTTATGATGAGGTCAGCTTTTATTCACAAACTTCACCAGTGTCTCCATCTTTTGTGTCTTCACAGAAAACAAGAAGAGGAGACACAAGGGGAGAAGCAGAGAAGGGGAGGTGGACACAAGGGGAGAAGGGGAGAAGAGGGGTTGGATACAAGGGGAGCACGGGAAGTGGACACGAGCAGTGGACACGAGCAGGGGGAGGTGGACACAAGGGGAGCAGATGAGGTGGAAACAGCAGGAGAAGTGGGAACAGGAGTGAGTAGAAGAGTGAATACAGTGTCAGACTGTTGGTTGATCTGAGGTGTGGGCAGTTCTAAAACAACTGACACAGCTGATGATTCCACGAAGACACCATGGTCTAATAATGGAGCCTTTGTCTGTGTGGCTGAGAGATCCTCACTTGGTACATGTGACTCTAAAAGAAGAAGAAACAAACCAAGAGCAGGAGCAGGGACAAAGACGAGAAACAAATGATGGAGACGAGAGTGAACAGGAGACAGTGAAACCAGTTAGAGACGATTCAGGACTTTCAATACAAATAAAATGCATCAACACTGATCAGAAGATGAAGAAGGAAGAGACACAGCAAGAGGCAGTGAGTGAAGAAGACGAGAAAGAGACAAAAACTGAGAAGGAGAGAACAAAGAATAAGAAAAGAGGAGGCTCTGGATCAACAGGACGGAAGAAGCAAAAGGAGAACCGGAGAGAAGAAATCAAACTGAAGGCAGATAGAGAGAGGTCGAAGAGCAAAGAGAAGCTTCAGTTAGAGATGAAAAAGAGAAAACATAAAGATGACATGATGCTCAACCAACGAAGGGGAATTCAGGACCAGCCTCTTTTAGAAGACAGGAAACAGGAGAGGAGTCAGACAGAACCTGAGGATAGAGGAGAAAGAAACCAAGAAGAAAACCAAAGTACCCTCACTAAAACAACAGAAGAGAAGGCAGGGGACACTTACAAAGGAGCAGACAGTAATGAAAATCAAGAAGAGGTCATGGAAACACAAAGCAAACATCAAAGGCTATGAGAAGAAAAGAGGAGACGAGCAGCTGAACGCAGAAAAACAAAAGATAAAAAAGCTGGAGGAGTCACAGAGGAGGTAAAAGTAGAGGGTAGAGAAGGAAGAGATGAGGGGTCAGAAACTGATGAAGGAGCTGAAATTGAAACTTGAAGGAAGAAATAAAATATACAAACAGGATTCAAACAAGGAGGGGGAAGATCAGCAGCTGATGCTGCATCATTCAGCCATTAATGAAGAGATCGGAGAGAGAGAGGAGCTGAGGGTCAAGATGAACTGCAGGAAGAGGAGGATTTATAGAATGATGAACCTCAACATGTCACATGGAGGATCAAACCACAACAAACACAAGAGAGCAATGAGGACCAGGAGAGAGGTAGAGATTATAAGAGCTATGAGTAAAGAAGAGAAGGGAGATGAGCTGAAACAGAAAACAGTCGACATTAGGCGACTCAGCAGAGAAGAGGAACTGAATGATGGAGCGCTGAGCAGCTTATTTATCTTTTTAACAAATCATTAGAAGAGGATTTTTGAAGACTTTTGGATTTTGAAATTTTCAAATCAATCACAAAGAAAACAGTGAGATGTGGAATTATTTTTAGACGTTTTCCATCTAAGTTTTATCAAAATGCCAACCAGCGCATCCACCAACATGGCAGACATTTTTAAAATTCAGTGACTGATCTGAGGTCACACTTGTACCTGAAATTCACTTTAAAACTTCTTTCATTCATCATTTATTGTCTGATGATGTCATTTCTGTGCATTTTGGTTACCATTACTGTGTTGTATTACATGGACGCTCATAATACAGCACACTATCATTCAAATCCCATATCAATAACATTACCCGGTCTGCATACTTCCACTTACGAAACATCAACCGTCTCCGCCCCTCCCTCACTCCCCATACTGCCTCCATCCTTGTCCACAGCCTCGTCACCTCCCATATTGATTATTGTAATTCTCTCCTCTTCGGCCTTCCTCATAAATCCCTCCATAAGCTCCAACTGGTTCAAAACTCTGCTGCCCGCATTGTCATCAAAACCCCCTCATACCATCACATCACCCCCATCCTACAACAACTACACTGGCTTCCGGTGAAGCAAAGAATCATCTTCAAACTCCTCCTGTACACCTTCAAGGCCATCTACAACCTCGCCCCTCCACATCTGTCTGACCTCCTTTACATCACCACTTCAGCCCGCTCCCTCAGATCCTCCTCCTCCTCCATTCACCTCACCGTGCCCTTTGCCCGCCTCAGCACCATGGGGGGCAGAGCTTTCAGCTGCTCTGGAACTCTCTGCCACCTGACATTCGCAACATTGACTCTCTCCCCATCTTCAAATCCAGACTCAAAACCCATCTGTTCAAGATCGCCTACTCACTAACATTTTAACTGTAATTACACTGTCCTACATTTCATTTATTTTTTGTATGCTGTTTTTATCCATCGCTGTTTTTAAATGTTGATTGTTGTACAGTGTCCTTGTGTGTCTTGAAAGGCGCTTATAAATACAATTTATTATTCTTATTATCATTAATTCACATTTTCAGATTCAGTTTTTTGCAATGTAATTCTGCACTGTTTACCTCTTATCAACTGTCACTGTGTCAAACTATTTGTTTATTTCTTATTAAATCTAACTTAGTACGATGTGGTTGGTCTGAAGACTTTGTGGGGCTTTTTTTGATACCTCTATTTTGATATCATTGTATTCAGAGTGGTCTCCTTATTTACATCCAAATCAATGCAGAAATAAACACAGAAGGACTCACAAAGTAGTACACTCCATCTTGTGGCGAAAATAGGTAATAACACCTACAGTACGTGAGACCACATTGTTAAACAACAAAAATATTTAGGGGATGTCTGTTTTAAACACCTAAGAACTTTCTGTTCTCACTCTATTGTTAAAAATGTTATGATTAGATTATTATAAAAAAAAGTATAATGCATCTATTTTACCATTAGTTTGATGTTATATAACAAAATGTTTTCCAACAATCTCACACATTTCAGTTTAATCAGTAGTGTCTATAAGGTTTCTATCTATACCTCTGCTGATCCCTCTCTCTCTCTCTCTCTCTCTCTCTCTCTCTCTCTCTCTCTCTCTCTTTTCCTGTTCATCATCTGCAGCTTTCTGTCTGTATAGAGAGAATAAAAGCATGTCAACGTGATCCCTCAATAAATGTGCACTAATTGAACAAAAACACATACGATCACAAAGACAAACACACCTACTCTTATGTTCATATTTTGCAAAATTAGAAGGGACTGAGTCATTTTTTCTGTCTGGACATGAACCCTCAAACATCTCTCGTTCTGCAGCTGTAACACTGACAGAGTGCCTAAACATAGTCATACTCTCAGCTGCAGCAGGAAAGAGGAGGAGAGGGCATCGAGGCCTGCATCACATAACCCCCGACCTAATGACCTTTTTCACTCTACAGCTTATAAATGGGATTTATTGAAAATTATTTCTATTAGAAATTACTCAAAATGAGTTTTGATAAAGCATATTGTATACATATATTTCGAATTAAGAAGTGTAGTATAAACAACATGAGATCATACAGTGATTTTATTTCTAGTTAATTCACCTTTCCAGGATGAAAAATTTAATATGTTTTTAACATCTTTTTGTTTTGGTGTTGCAATTTGCAGACGGTCCCTGAGAGGGGTCAAGACCAGTGGTCCTCAACTTGTCTAGCCTCAGGACCCAACACCAACTCCTCCCTGAAAAACCATGAACCAAATTTTATTTTTCAACCAATCAGATTTATTTAAAGCAAAATTTAGCATTTTTTTTTCAAGTTTGCAGCTTCAATCAAATGTTATAGATCAGACGATGCAAAACACCTGATGGAAGATATAAACAAACATGTTTAAAAAAGCACTTGACAGACTGTTTGAGAAAAGGTTTTTTCCAGGAACATGACCCACTGAAAACAGCTCTCGACCCACCTTTGGGTCCCGACCCTCCAGTTGAGAATCACTGGTCTAGACTGTCTTGGTGGGTTAGGGTCACAACAGGTGTTATGGAGAGAATTGCATGCGCACCTTTCAGGACACAATTTCTACACTGATGGATTTTACATCCATCTTTAAATTTCCTCTACAAACACATTAGAGTCAAACAGTGTTTGCAGGTCAGAACAATAAGGACACTTTACGTGTATCAAGTGTAAACTGTACATAGTCTACTTTGTCGTCACAGATCTGCCCGCAGAAATATGAGACCGTTTTCAGACACTTCCGCGAGGGGTGCATTTCTCACTGCGGTGAAGTCAGCCGCTCCTCAAGTTTACATGGTGAAGTGAGCCGCCCCTAAATTTGAAGTGCTCACGTATTCTGATCTTTATGGTAAATGCTCCGGACTCCAGGGCGAGCAGGAGTAACAGACAGAGAGAGCGATGACGTCAAGTGCTAAATGTCTAGGTCTTACCATAAAACTGACCAAATAAATACAGTTTTCTTGTATATATCTTACATAAGTACACCATGATTCTGATATGGTTGGACTAAGTACTTCTTAGACTACATGCAGAGGTACTATGAAGTACTTTCACTGTGTACTTTTTGAGAAATCCTCTGTCAAAGTCCATAATAAATCACTATAATGACTCTTTTTTATGACTTTGATGTCTTGTAAAAAAATAATTCTTCCACAATGATTCTGATATGGTTGGACTTATTACTTCTTAGACTTCATGCACAGGTACTATGACACAGCTCTCTGCAGTGTTTTCAATGTGACAGTACCAATTTGGATTCGCTCTGTCACAGCTACATGTTGCACTTTTAATACTTTGCAATAAACACACAAACAAGCATTTTTCAAATATTAATAATCAGCTCACGAATACAAAATTACTTTTGACATTGTTTTTTACATTTCTTATAAACATTAACATTTTTAAATAACATACATATGAAATTAACAGACTCTGAACACCAACTACTATCACAATCCCAATCGTTCACTCTTGCATGTTGGAGTTTTTCTCTCATCCATGGCTAGGCACTGCTCATGGTACCATCTTTCACATGTGTCACACTGTATCTGTAAAATAAAATGTGCAAACCTTGATCAACTTGTCAGGAATAGAGAATCTGTGCAATAGAGAAACATTTCTAGTTATAGGCACTCATTGTAGACAGTCATGACTCACAGCGTTATTTACAGAGAATATACTGGATTTCTG